TCAACATAGCTCATAATCTAGCTCAACATGACAGAACTAAGCATGTGGAGATTGATAGGCACTTTATCAAGGAAAAACTCACTAATGGCACCATATATATTCCATTTATGAAGACTGGGGACCAACTAGCAGATGTTCTCACTAAGGGACTAGGGAGCAAACCATTTAATGACATTCTCAACAAGCTGGGCATGATAGATATCTTCGTACCAACTTGAAGGGGAGTATTAGAATAGGAAATAATATATGTTAAAATAAGAAATAATATGGTTTGATTTTATTTTACCTTAATGGGTGTAATGAGCTGACCCATAATTTATGCCTTGTGGCCCTCCTGTAATCACTCATTATTATCTATATAAAAGGAGGATGAGGTCTAACTCATTCCCTATCCTTTTCTCTTCTCTAAACCTACATATTACGTCCAAGGTGGAGTGCCTATTTTTCTAATATTTCAAACATCTAAATATGTCCAGCGGGTTACTTTCTAACTGTACTAAAACAACAATACTGAATGCATGGTTTAGAATACCTGCATGTAAGTCTGCTACTAGCTTCGATATTTTGGCAAGGTATGTGCTGCTAAATATATCTTTTCCAAGAGTCAAGCGTCCATAATGTCAAAATTTTGGACTAACATATAGAGTATATTTTTTGGGTGAATAACATATAGGGTATATTACACTGAGCTCTTGAGGTTTAGAAAAATATAGTCAGTCAACTCCACAGTTTTGACATAATTACACATACCTCCTTTTTATTCTAACACTGCTAGTAGAGTATGTAATTTTACAAAATTACCCTTAAATATTTAGTTTTTTAAAAACATTAATGTCTACCACCTAGATCTGACTTCTTATTCCTTTACCGTAATCTGCTTCAACCACCAGGACTACAAGCCTTCCCCTGGTTGCTTTTTGGTGTAGATCTCTTCCACGCTATCACCATGACACCGTCCTTTCAATTCTCCCTGAACCACAAACCACCCTAAGCTGCCAACCACCCACCATTGATTGATTCCAGCAAAATCACTGCCACCATGCACCCAAAACCCAAGATACCCACCACCATGGAATCCTTCCATTGATTTCGGCAAGCGCCATTGATACCTCCTCTGGCAACACTGAATCCCTCCACCTCTCTTCTTCCCCCTAGCCTAAAGTGAGGATGAAGATGGTGCGATGATGAATCCAAAGCGGTTGGAGACCAGACAGAGTTGGGAATGACTTGAACTTGATTGTCTAGGGATTTGGTGCTGAAAAGGGCAACTTATTTATGGCTATAAATGATAACTTGAGTATGTGCGTGAAGAAGAAGAAGTGGAAAAGGAAAGAGGCGCTTCACCCCCACAAGGGTTAGACAAATTCACACAAACATAATCTCAGTTTCTCACAAATTCTACTTCTCTTGAAACGATAGATTACATGCATATTTATAAATTGTAGGATGCTACACTTTTCCTTTTTCTATTGGGAGTTCGATTCCATTATTAGAAAGTTAAGAAATTTTGACCAACTGCAATATTCTTTACCTAATAAAGACTTCATAGAAGATCCAGTAATATATTTTGACCTATGACAAGACTCATAGGCGACCCTTGCAACCCATGTCCAACAATTTATAAAATTACCAAAATTCGATGTGCCACATTTTCTTTCCATGCTCATCATCACGACACCACTTAGAAGCAAAGAACTTTTTATAGCATTAGCATTGCAACTACTCATCTATCCCAAAAATCACCCCTAATTGTGTTGATCTCAAAACCTCCAAACGCACGATTCACCGATACTCTTGATAGAATCCTACTAAAAGCGTTCATCATTGAAATGAATAGGAAGCGAGTTAGGAGATTGCGTTACTTGAAACCTCTTGAATTATTATGGAGACTAGATAGTGTTATTATAAATCAAAGTTTTATGTATTAACATTGGTGTTGTCCATGTCTCTGCCGCTTCCTTTATTGAAATCTATGGATAAGAGAGGTTAGAGGTGGTCGGTTATGGACCTCTGGGTAGATGGTAGGTACGTCAATGGCTCAAGACCACAGGAGGCAATGGAATAGAAGACCTATGCAACCTTAGAGATAGAGAGGGTCATAGTGAGAGACCTTGAACATAGCTATGGAATTGCAATTTGCAGTGTAGAAGCTATGCAAGTGTTGTGTGTTTTGGCCGTTGTGTTCATGATACAGAGCATTGGAGCCTAAGCAACCTATAGTGATGCAGAGTATAAGAAGCTCAAGGAAGGCTAAATTTAAAGAAGCGATGATATTTGGACATTGGCATGATTTCATAGAGAAGCTGATAGAAATTTTCTATAGTTCTGTTTCTAGTATTATTAGTCTTATTTAATAATTATATTTATGTTTTCTAGGATTTTAAGCTTAGGGGTATTTTGGTAATTTGTAGAATTTCTGATTACAGGTTGTGTGGGTCGCCATGATTGTCTTGTGAGTCAAGTTATTTAATTAGTTTTTGTTTTTATTTCTTATTTATGCCTCAAAAGGCCAAAAAGTCGCTATAAGTTGTCACATCACTCTTTCTATTTTTCTACACTTCTTTTCGTAAAAAGTCAAAAATGTACTAAAATAGTCTATTCCCAAACGAGGCCTCAGTCTTAGATTAGTTTTGAAAGTCAAAAATATTATAATAATTTCTGTTTTTCGTTATAGTTGGTTTAGGAAGTTTTCTAGTTCTATATAAAGTAATGTAATGCTTATAATTTAATACAATTGATATTTTAAAGAATGTTCAGTGCTTTTGAACCTTCTTATGGATTGTGTAATGCAATCAAACCCTAGGTGTGATACCTATGGAATTCTAGGAGTGATACCTAGACCTATTTTCTTCTTCTTCTTTCTCTCTTCTTTCCTTTTTTTTTTATTTTATTTTATTTTTCCTTTTTCAGTTTACTATTCACAAGTTGCTGTTCACAGCCCCTTACAGTGCCAAAATCCCATCTTTTCATGTTTAAACTCAGGCATTTATTACCCTAAACAAACCCTATTTGTCCCCTATATCTTTATTGCAATTTCAGCCATAAAATCCAATTAAAATCAGCCACAAAAGCCTAGATTTGCTGCTGCCCTAATCGTCCTACATCATAGACACAAGTGGCGAGCTCTCATCAACTCAACACTAGTCAACTCAAGAGGAAGCTAATATAAGCCCTACTATTGTGCCTGTGATTCAGGCCGGCAGGTATGACATCTCAGGGAGTTTATCATGAATACAAAAGCGTGAATGTAAGTTCAACATCTGCTCTCTCTAAGCTTTGTCAAGGTGGAGCTGTCAAGGACAGCCAAGCAACCTTGACGAGCCCTTGGTCTTAGCCACCAATCCATTATTCTCCAATGATCCCTAGTGGGAGTCTCTGCTCTTAGCCTAGGCAGCCAAGTGGTTAAGTAGAATGAATGAGCCTCTATGAAGCATGGATACTTCAAAAAGGGAGACGTGTCCGTATCGGATACTTATCGGATACTGATACTCCTCGGATACTCGCGGATATATATCGGATACTTCTTAATTAATTTTTTGTTAATTTTGGAGTATCGGATTCTTAATTTTGAAGTATCGGATACTCAAAGTCACATATTACTTCTGATACTTTATTTAGTTCTTTGATAAGAGGAATATATTGAGAGTTAAAGTAATAGAATTTGTCAAATTGATATATCTTTATTGTCTCTCTCACTCTCTCATATTTCTTCTCTCTGCACTTGTTCTTTTTTTGGTGTTGGCATGTAAGGATTATGTTTAATTTGCATTTGCATTTGATTTTTCTTTTAATTTTAGATGTTTTATGAATGTTTGAAGACTCTTAGTTTAATAGGAATCCCTCTATTTATTTATTAATTTGCTTTAGGTTTTATTTTCATACATATTACATTATTAAAATTATAAAAAAAAATATATATTTTTTTTACGAATATATCCTTGCCATACCTATATTATACTTTTTAGATTTTGGTGTATCGCCGTATCCGGTATCCATATCCATTCTTCCAATTGAAAAGCTCAGCCTACATTTCTCCTTAAAACTCAATTATTAAGGAGAGGGAAACTATAGCTTTATAACCAGCACAGATGGGACAACTCCAAGCAATGTGAGACACATTCCAACACACCCTCCTGGACCACAATATACAGTAGCCAAACAAACAACACACCAATCACAAGCCCAACCAAGCTATGATACCAATTTGAAAAGCCTAGCCCGCACTTCTCCTTAAAACCCATTTATTAAGGAGAGGGAAACTGGAGCCTTATAACCCGCACAGATGGGGCAACTCCAACTGTTCTGGGACAAATTCCAACACACCCTCTTAGACTACAACCCATAGTAGCCAAACAAACAGCACACCAATCACAGGCCTAACCAAGCTCTGATACCAAATTGAAAAGCTTAGCTCACACTTCTCCTTAAAATCTAAGTATTAAGTAGGGGGAAACTGGAGCCTTATAATCAACATAGGTGGGGCAACTCCAAGTGACGTAAGACACATTTCAACACTTCCTAGACGAGCTTGAATCATGGGTTTCTTCAACAACTCCTAGAATCTTGCCTACCTATACAATCATGGGTTTCTTCAGCAACTCCTAGAATCTAGCCTACCTAGACAATGAAGGTTTCTTCAATAACTCTCATGCGGACAGTCCTCTTATAGTGGAAGATACATTTGACTATTGGAGTTGATGAAATCTGAGAACTTGTTCACACGAAAGCTAGTTTAACACATCCTGACTTCTCGCTTCCATTTTCAAACTAATATATCTTGGGGGTTAAGTTAACAGTTACCAGATCTATTTTTGTCTGTCGACAAAATCTTATATCTTGGGTTGGGGACATGTTGTGTAAAAGAAAATATTAAACATGAAATAAGCTGAGTTATTGAACACTTTTTGTGTTTATGTATATATATATATATTTTCTTCATTTTTGTTTTGCTTGTTGATTTGGTTAATTTATTTATTTATTTTTTTTGTTGAAATTTGCAGTGATCCTGAGAGTGCAAATGTTATTGTCACAGCTGGACATAGAGGCCTAAAGTTTTGGGACATACGGTATGTATGTTAGTTGTTTCTCTTTTGTATATATTTATAGTTACAAGCCCATCTGCTATACCATCTTTTCCTTCTTTTTCCTCTGCAATGGTTGGTTGTCTCATAGTTATATGGGCGACGACACATGTTCAGCTTTGATTATGCTTTAGGTTGCTGAACTAATATAATAATAGTGTATGGTTAAGTATATATAACGTCCTTCGTTGTTCACAGTGATCCATTCCGCCCTTTGTGGGACCTTAATCCAGTTCAGCGGATCATATATAGTTTGGATTGGCTGGCAGATCCAAGGTATTCTGAAGTAAAACAGAATTCTAAATCTTGTGTTTATTATGTTCTTCTTCGTTTATCTTGTCTTTTATCTTTATTTTTTGTTCCTTTCTCTCAATTAGTATTTGTTGATTCTTCTAGTTGCGTTATTGTGTCCTTTGATGATGGAACACTAAGGATCCTTAGCTTATCAAAGGCTGCATATGATGTTCCTGTCACTGGAAAACCTTTTGTTGGGACACAACAGCAAGGATTCCATAGTTATTATTGTTCATCCTTTGCAATTTGGAGTGTTCAAGTTTCACGGCTAACAGGTAGCTTTGTCATACTTAATGATATGTTGTTGTGTCTAACATTTTTACTGTTCACCATCACACATAAAAGAACTTATGTTCACTTTGAAGCCATTTTACTCTCTTTGCCTTTCATTTTCTTTTTACTTGATTGGCATATAGTGTCATGACCCAAGTCACCTAATTCGTGCATGGACCCCTCTGCTCCCTTAAGTTTTGCGAATTTACAAATTTTGCTTCAAATTTGCGAATTACCCCCAACCAATTCATGAATTGATTAATTACTGGGGCAAATTCATTATTTATAATAAAATTTAGGCCAATGTTACCAGAAAACGCTAACACATTAGTGATTTACCTTTTGGAATGTACTTTTAGAAACATGGTACATTTTCGTTCGAAAATGGTAAATTTAGCTATCCAAACCGATCTCCTAATTTTTCTATGCTTGTCATTAAAATTCTCCGTAATAAGGAAATATAAAATATTATGAACTAAAATCTGGATAGAGTGGAATTCTGGATTGACAAAATGTAAAACATAGGTCACAATGCTCATAGAATTGTGTTATTGAATGATTATTTTGAAGAAAAATACATTATCAATTTTTAATATATTGGATGTCAATTAAGAAGTCTACTCTTATCGTACCATATTTTAAAGTATGTGGCATACGACGTTCCCGTTCCTTGTACTAGAACTATCTGTATTCTAGGTAACATAGTTTTAGGCTTTTGTGTATAAAAGCATGCCTAATTTTGTTTTTAAATAATTGGTGGGGGGCAAATTGAACATTTACTGTGTTCAAGGGTTTCATGAAAATGAATACGTAATTTGCAAAGTTACTAAAAAAAAATAGTGCTCCAAAAGTGTTGAAACAAAGACCTATTTAGGCCGTGCTTGGATTGTTATTTTTTGGCTAAAAATAATAAAATCTCAACAAACCAAAAAAGTCAAAATGTCACATCATACAATCAATCAATCACTTTTTCCTCACAACTATATGTTCAACTAAAAAAGCCATTCCAAGCACTTACCTTTTTTCACCTCATAAAAAAGTCATAATGCCACTAAAAAAGCCAAGTTGCCAAATGGGCACTATTCTGAAGTACTTAACCAGCCCAACTACAACTATTTTTGCTTTTTACGAAGTTTACTTTTGTTCTTTTAAGTTAACTAATCAAAATATTATTTGTAATACATAATCTGATGTTGTTATTTAACAAATTAAGAATAAATAAAATTAAGTTTTTTAATGGACAAAATAAAAAATAAATATATTCCCTGTTTGGTAGAGCTGTGGGAAAGTGCTTATAGCTTATGCCTTAACAGCTTATAGCTTATAACTATGAACATAAACTGATTTCTGACTTATAAATTAAGCATCTCCTGTCCCACTTAAAGAATAAGCTGATTTCTGACTTACAAAAAGCTATAAGCTGCATTGTTAAGCTAAACCAAACACATCAAAATAGCTTAAATTAAGCTGAAAGCTGAAATAAACAGCTTTTAAGCTGCACCAAACAGGCACATAGTATACATCATTATATGTATAGACACTCTGGAGGAGCTCTTGTTCTCAAGATATTTTTAAAATTGAAGCTCTTGCTCTGGCGCCCGCTTCGTGAATTGGTTTGTCAACCAAAGTGGGTGTGGCAGTGTCTGTTGGGTGGATGTGTGATGTTCAGTGAATTGTTAATTTTATGTTTTGATCTATCTTGGTGAAGAGTAGAATAACTTTTTTATTTTTATATGTTTTTGTTTTTGTTTTTAGGGTCAAGCATGAAAAGACTGTACATTCTTTATTGCACTCACTTTCATGCAAGATGTACAATTCTTTTAAACTTCTTAACATGTGTTCCCAATGCCCTTAGGGCACATGTTAGCAAAATCCATGTTTTTAATCTGTTGGATAAGTAGTTCTCAGTAGAATCTTCAATTCTGAAAATACTGAGTTTTTGTGACAATATTGTCTTACTGAAACTCTTACACACTGCTGTGTTCTATGATCATAATACTGTCTCTCTGAAATTCTTATACAGTGCTCATTCTCTGATCGTTGACATATTTCATTTTAAACTATAGGCATGGTTGCATATTGTAGTGCAGATGGTACTGTTCTTCGTTTCCAGGTGAGTTTTAAACTTGTGGTTATATGTTTTGCTGGCAAGTTCTCTTTATCATTGTTATTAATTTAATGCTTACTATTTTATCAAATATGTACTAAAACATTATACTGTACCCAAGTGTTTGAATGTACATGATCCTTTATCTTCAATAAACTTCTTTTTCCTAGTACACGTATTAATATGATAAACAATGTCGGGTCCATTTCCTAGTAGCTCGAGCTTTTGAGATAATTTGTGACTCAATATGGTATTAGAGCTCTAGTTTTAGGCTATGAGGCACGAATATTTAGAAAGGAGTCAGTCATGCATATCATATTTGTATTGGATACCAATACTCCTTTTATGTACTTACTAAATGTATCTGATAATTGATATTAATTTTCTTTAATTTTGCGAAGTATTGGATATTGTCGGTCTTATATCTGAACTATAATGAAATTGAGATTGTAATAATTCTTGCATAGTATAGAGCATACCAGTAATGACAAATACAAAAATAGTTTTCCAATATTTTTATTATGGGGGTAGGTTTGTCCAATAAAACTAAAGAGTTAACATGTTTAAAAAATAAATAAATAAATGTACACTTCCCTGCTTTATCAAAATTTATCAAATTAATGTTTGCTTAATGTGTGGTCCTACATTTGTGTCCATACTTTGTATAAATAAAAAACTACAATCATCATTGAAAACACATTTAAATAAGCAAGTAAACTTGCATAGAATATTTTTGCATATAATACTTTGAAAGTGTGAAAGGAAAAAACACTAGGACAATATAAATAGTTTAGGCATGATATTGAAATTAAATTTGTATAGGATCCAGTGAAAAAATGAAGTACACATTGACTCTTAAACTAATACCTAATTCTTAAATTGTGATTTCTTGCTATTCTTTAAGCTTATTATGTGTACGACAATGCTAGAAATTATATTTTATTTCCAATTTGTCAATCAGTAGGAGATTATTAAAATGAGAAGAGAATTACATCGGACAAATATAGAAATCCAACAACTAGCGCCATAATGGGGAAAGAAACAGCCAACACAACAAACCTCCCACCTAAGAAAGTACCCCATAATAGGGGAGAAATGAACAATACAACAAAGAGCCCCATAAAGAGGAAGAAATTATCAATCCTTGCATATAACAAGGATGATCCCCTTAAAAACCTGCATAACAATGTAACAATTAATTACTCTTGGACTAAGGAGATAATAGAGATGGTTCTTCTTACAAAGACATGATAGCCTATTGTTTAACTGAACATGTGGCCCTTGATAGAGTTGGATAGTGAAATAGGATTTATGTAGCTAACCTTAAATGGTTGGGACAGAGTTTTCTTGAGCTGAATTTATGGATTGTATAATATTCTTGATCAACTTCCTGTGTGGATTGGAGGATCTTCTTTAGTCAGATCATTCAAAGTTTTCCAGACAGGCCCAGTCATTGGTAGTCCCACAGCAGTATACATACGCGTAAATGTCTTCTCAGGGTGCTTATGAACTCATGAAGTCATGAAATGTAGAAAGGCTTGGTCTACTGGATAAAGTCACCTAATTTTATTCACTTGTTGATCCCTCATGTGTCAGGGTAATCTGAAATTAATAGCAACTTTTATTTCTTTCTTTAGCATTAAGAGGAATTCAAATGATCCAAGTCATCCAGTGAGTGGAGCTGGTGACTTGTTTTGGTGTTCCCTGTAAGCACTGCATGTATTATGTGCCCAGATGGGGCCATTTTTTGTCCTACATCTTTCTTCACTGTTAAGGAGTTCGGAAAGAGAATGTGAATATGTTTGGCTAAACGACTAGATATTTATTTTTGTCACTTTTCCCTTCCCTTTTGTTTTCCCTTCCACAAATCTTACTCAAAACCATGATCCAACTACATCTAAAGGTATTGTGTTTGATTTTACTTAAAACTAAGTTATCCTACTTAACCAAACAACTTGTATTCACTGTTGCATCATCATACTGCTTTAGGCTGGCTGCTTCAATGTTTTTTCAAAAATCTGATCACGTTTTGACCATAAGCAGCTCACAACCAAAGCAGTGGAGAAAGACCCTTTGCGCAATCGGGCCCCACATTTTCTATGCGGATATTTGTCCGAGGAAGAATCAACTCTTACAGTAATCACTCCATTGCCAGATACTCCGTTCCCCATGAAGTCGTCGTTGAATGAATGGAGTAATGCCCCAAGAACCATACGTGGGTTCTTATCTGTATCAAATCAGGCAAAAAGAGCAAAGGAGCAAATGACAAAAGGCCATACATTTGATGGTCAAACTTTAGGTAAACTCTTACAGTTCCTGCACTACATACATATAAAAAATGTTAGGAACACAGAATGGATCACAGACACACAATTGTGGGGCTTACACAGTGTGCGGTCCATAAATATTAGTGTCTATGATCTATTATGTATTTGGTTTGTGTGTTAGTAGCACTGCTCCATTTTGCTCCATAATTTTTCCATGCCATATCCTGTCTTGAGCATGTGTATCTGACTTGCTATTTTGTTTAAGCTCTGTGTCATGGTGATGATACGGGAATTGAGATTGGATCTGAGGACACATTGGTGTCACCGAAGAGCAAACAAACACCAAAATCCAAGACAAGCGGTAAGAAAAAGCTGACAGCTGATGATCAAGCATTAGTGTGCAGAGATGAAGAGACGGAGAATGTTGAGAGGGGAGACAGTGAAAAAGGGGAGACTGGGAATGAAATTGAGGTGTTTCCTCCGAAGATCGTTGCTATGCATAGAGTAAGATGGAATATGAACAAGGGCAGTGAGAGGTGGCTATGCTCTGGAGGAGCTGGTGGAATTGTCCGTTGCCAAGAGATTTGACAAACCTCTTTTTGATAAATAATTTTATACTTATCATGAAGTGTAGCCAGATTAAAAGATCCATATGTTCATACCATAAAAAGAGTTTTTTTTTTTGGGGGGGGTATATTATTTACTGCTTGTGAAATTCATTAATGTTGTTTAACTTATTTTGCTAAAATGAATTTGAAAGGTTTCTGTAAATATCTGTTGTTATGCTTCTGGGTGATGCAAGTTACTGTAATATGAGAAATCTGTATTTACAAAAGCAAAAAGAAGCTAATTCTTGGCTTAGTTTTGAACTAGCTTTTTATATCTTCTTTAATTGACCTTTTTCTTTTTATGTTTTGATAATTAGGTCTTAGTTTGGGGATTTGGTGATAGATCCTCACTATCTAATTTGTCTTTCAAAATGACAAGAATTATAGAGGTACTTTCAAAATTTCCTAATATTTTAAAACTTGTTTTTTTTACTATATTATCCTCAAATCTATCAGCTCTCATATGAAGTCATCCTCACAGTGTATTTTAGAGTAAAATTTTACTCTGAATGATAGTAAATTTTACTTTGATTTAGAGTAAAATTTTATTCTGAATCAGAGTAAAGTTTACTATGATTCAAAATAAATTTTTATATCGTTAAGCAAATTAACATGTTTTTAACCAGAGTAAAATTTCAGAGTAAAATTTTACTTTAAATCATAGTAAATTTTACTTTGATTTAGAGTAAAATTTTATTCTGAATCGGAGTAAAGTTTATTATGATTTAAAGTAAAATTTTATATTATTAAGCAAATCAACATGTTTTTAACATGAGTAAAATTTGACTTTGAATCATAGTAAATTTTACTCTGATTCATAGTAAAATTTTACTTTTACTATGAATCAAAGTAAAATTTATTATTATTCAAAGTAAACTTTTATATTGTTAAGCAAATTAACATATTTTTAATCAGAATAAAATTTTACTGTTACAAAAAATAAAATATATACTAAATGAATCAACCAAGTCAAATTTTATCTCGTGCGTATTATAATACAATAGACCCCATTTCTCTGTCTTGGCATTTATATTCTATTCTCCATTGCTTTGCTCGACGCCGTTCAAAAGCACTCAAAGCATATAATTAGAAAAGAAAAAGCACTCAAAGCATATAATTAATAATAATTAAAAAAAAAAGAGTTGAACATCAAAATGGCATCTAGATCAGCTGTTGAACTCGATTTCTTCACAATGGAGAGACTGCTCCTCCAAACCTCTTCCCAATAAGCTCTTCGATTGTCGTCGAAGCTTTCGAGGTTCGTCCTCATCAATTTGAATTTGTTTTTAAAATTCATTATCTCTCTTATTATGTGAAAATCATTTCGTTGTATCTAATCTTCATATATATATATATATATATATGTAGATATTCAAAGTTACGTTTCAAAGATGAACCCCAAGCTTTTGAAGACTGTGATTGCTTCTGGCTCTGTGGACCAGAGCACCAATTTGTCAAAATCGTCTTCATTTTCAGCTCCGGTGACTCTGAAACACGAAGAGAACGTCTCTCTCGCTTCTCCCTCTACACTCCGACCAGATCTCCTTTGAAACCCTAACCATGGCGTCATCATCTATGTATAAGCAATAGTTGTATCAGACAAAACTTGAGAGATTGAGAGGGTGATTAGGGAATATTTAATTGAGGGTATAATAGTCTGATAAAATATTTAAATAATAAATTTTGTCATTTATACAAGATTTTATAATTATGAGGGAGTTTTAAAAGTATAATTTTTTTCTTAGTTCTTTTAACAATAAAAGAAAGATAAGAGGGATTTATACCCAAATTTTCCTTTTTGTTTCAGCATTCAGTAAAACAGAACGGCAAAAAAAAAAGAGGTCAAAAGCTCACTCTAAAAGACTAGGGTGAGTGGTTTAGATTTGTTCGGTTTAGCCACAAACTAAGACCATTTCATTACTTATGGTTCTATCAAATTTAGAATCAAACTAATACATGAAAATCTTGGAATCAACCTGAATTGAACCACTAAATCACTGTTTCATTTGGTTTGGAATCGTGGATTTTAAAAATATTATCATTATTCATAATATTATTACAAAATATTATTTACAATTACTTACATGATTGTTTAAAATTAGTTTTATAACTATACAAAAATATACTTAGAATAATAGAGAGTTATAATTTATATATATTTGATACTAACAAAATATTTTAGTATTTATATTTGGTAACAAATTTCTTTAAGCATAAATAATGTTTTAATTCATATTCTATTGTTAGAACAATATAAATATATTTGTGATAAAGAGTTTACACCTGTTCCGCGTGGTGATTTAACTCTCATCATCAAAATTATTGATGAATCACAATGGTTTTTTGGCAGATAATTTTAGTGAAAATCTATTAAAACTGTGGTAACGTAGTCCGCATTATTGTAGTTTGAAACTGAAAGACCCTAATGTGATCATTAGAGTAAGACCAATGATCTATACTAGACAAGATATAGATGAATTTGATATTCAACTTCAGAAACTTTTACACAAAAAGTTAATTGAAGAAACTAGAAGCCCTCACTCTAGTCCAACTTTTATGGTAAAAAATCATGTTAAAATTAAAAGAGGAAAAGCCCGAATGATAGTCAACTATAAATGGCTAAATGAAAATTTAAAATTTGATGGATATTTCATTCTAAGAAAAAATGTTTTGATTTATTTAACCAAAGGATATATGTAACTATAAAATCACAAATCGAATTGTGAAGCATGATTCGCCTATTTGAAAAATTAGAACCGAACCGTGCATTGAAAAGATAAACCAAACTGTATGGTTTGGTCTAAATCGGAGCAGTTTATGATTTTTTTGATTTTCACTCAGTCCTATAAAAGACCCTAAAATGTAAAATATATAAATATGCAATTGAAAATAATAATAATAAGTCCCCCAAAAAAATGAAAAAAAAAAACAAATAAATAAAAGTGGGTTTTTACATTTGCCAAAAAGAAGAAAACCAAAGCAAAAGCCAGGTGCTTCTTACTCACCCCTACTGCAACTTTATGGAGGATTGGAGAAGATATGGCACATTCGTTGCCTTCCAAAATTGCATCAATTTATTTGATAGAGAGTTCCAACTGTAGTGGCAAGTAGCAACTAAAGAAAATAACATCGGAAATGTCCAAAATAACCCCACCATGGTATTTGTAAAGAAGTAAAATTCATATAACATAATTTGTTCAGAGACCAAGAATGTTTGGTTTGGTGGTAAGGTGTCATATAAAGTTAACAATTCTGTGCCAAAGGGTTTCAGATATGAATACACAAGACAAAGATGCACAAGAATAACAAAACAAATTCTAATTCACTCAAACGAATTCAAAATAAATACAAAAATCTCACAAACAAATACAAAGGAGAGATAACCTCTCCTAACTCACAATCTCTCTCAAATTCAGTTATTTTTTATATCTAATATAACACATTAGCTTCCTATTTATAGGCTTCTGAAGAGGATGAGAGACGGAAGCGGTGACTCCAAAATCATCTTGTTTCGGACACATTCAAGAAGTTTCATTGTGGCTCCCATTGTTGACCAACTAAGAACTTCAATTCAAAACCATCTTCTTCAGTAGCTTCTAGATCATCTAGGAGCTCCAGGGATAATCTAGGAGCTTCTTTCTTCATGGTGAAATAGAGAGAGGAGAAGTTTAAGCCAACTTCCTCACAATTCTCCACCTTGGCGAAAATTCTTCAGTACATAAATTTGAACAAAACTCCACCTTAGCAAAATACCATAAACAAATAAACAACCAACCATGCGAGTGCTTTAAAGCAAACACACTCCAATGCCCAAAACAAATTCTGCTGCACCAAACAAAACAAACGAGCGCTCTACAAACAAATCAAAACAAAACATCAGACTCAAAGCTCGAGACATATCAAGCCAATATAAACAAACTACAGAACAAAACAAACTAGTTCTTCTAATTTTCTACAACAAATCCAAATTCCAAACTCCATCATGATGTCAAATTCCAAAATACCAAAAAACCAAAGTTTTACTAAAATTTGAAGTAGATTGCCACAAGATCTTTTTCAAATCGACAAAAGCGAATTGTTTTCTAAGACCGACAAGTGGCCGAAGACCATAACAACGACCTAAAATTCAGATTCAGTATCATTCTGTGCTACATTGACTTTGGAAACAACATTTCTTTTTCCCTTCAAACTTGGACAATCTTTCTTCCATTGCCTTTTCTCATGACAATAAGCACATTTATCTTTTGCGAGATTAACTCTAACGCCTGCTAACTTCGAATGGGATCTACCTTTAACTGTCAAAGTGTTACTAAATGTGTCATTGAAGTTCTCTTTGGCTTTCTCGCTGTACGCATTGTTAATCAAACTGCTAGACACATTTTTAAAACATATTTCATCCTTACCATACAACAGAGTAGTGATAAGATGATTATATTTGTCAGGAAGAGAATTTAGGAATAAAAGAGCTTTATCTTCATCTTCAATAGCAACATCCAAATTTTGAAGATCAGCAAGTATCTTATTGTAAGCATTCAAGTGTACAGATATCGAAATACCTTCTCGATATTGGAAGCGAAAGAGTTTTTTCTTCAAGTAGAGACGATTCTCTATACTCATGGTTATGTATTTATCTTCCAATTTCTTCCATAATTCTTTTGCCGAAGTTTCTTTCATGATAAAGTATTTCAGCTCTTTCACTAAACATAATCGGATCATGCCACAAGCTTGGTGATTGATTTGTGTCCATTCTTTCTCATTCATACTAGACGGTTTGTTTCCCAGAGTGACGTCAAGTTCTTGTTGGTAGAGAACATCCATAACTTCGCATTGCCACATGCCAAAGTTATTGTTTCCATCAAATTTCTCTACAGCGAACTTAGCTTTAGAGATTGAACTCCTCTTTTTTGGATTACTTGTTGAAGCTCTTTCTTCAGCCATTTTTTCTTTAAAAAAAAAAAAAAAAAAAAACTGAAACTACCAAAAGAGTCCACTTTGGAGATGATAGGGCAGTTTGGTATGCCAACACCCTTCTCAAGGGTCAAATTAAAATTTTCAAATTTTCAGGGGCTAAACTAAAAATCCAGAATGTTCTGGGGCCAAAACATAAATTCAGAAATAACTGGGGCTAAATTATAATTTCACTAAAATTCAGGGGCCAAAATGTAGTTTCAAAAATTACTCATGACGTGAAACCTTGCTAACGTGGTAGGGCTGACGTGGCAGTCGGTCAACGC